TTTATTAATTTATTTTTTATTAAATATTTTTATTTTTTACTTTACTTTTAGGGGCTTCGGGGAAATATTAGGGGTCTGAACAGACCCCTGATATTTCCCTTTTAAAATAGAAAAAGAGATTGAGGACACAAAGTCCTCACTCTCTTTTTCTGTAGCCCCTGTTATAAATGAACAGGAATCCTCTATGCTGAGTGTTCCTGTTCATTCATAACATGAGAAGATTGTGTGTTTACTATAACCACAATCATGAATGAACAGGAGGTGGTGTAGATCACTTCCCATTCATTCATAATTGAGGATACAGTAACCATTCCATATCCTCAATTATTTACAAACACTCACTAATCACTGAGTGTTTGTATCTCGCTCTCCTTCTTGACAGCTGTCACAGGCTGATCCGAGCGGTGTAAGGAGGAGAGCTCAGCCTCCTGTGACAGCGCGGCCTGTCTCCGCTCACACAGCGCTCTGCCGGACTGTGATAGGAGGCTGACTGTGTGGGAGGAGATGCCGGCCGCTAACAATTTCTCTCCTCCCCGCTGGGACACAGAGCAGCGCCCAGCAGGGAGGAAAGAAAGCAGGAATGCGCCAATGTATCTGCAGGAAAATAGCACTTTCTGCATTATGCCAAAAGTGCCATTTACGGCCAATATGTTTCAGCGGCCGATATATCGGTGCATCCCTAGTTCTAACCCACTCCTATCAGTCAATGCCTACAGTGTGAGCTGTCTAGAAATGTTCCCTTAAAGAGGAGAATCTGGCAATGCATTGTTCTAAGCAGCACATGTAGCTGACAAAGTGGTAACTTCATGTACATACAATATATGATTAAAAAACAAATAGAAACATCTATTAAGGCAGAGGGTAAGACGGTAAACATACATTTCATCACAAGTGGTGCTAGTTTTCATTCCTAACCTGCTCAACACAAAGCCTGTGGTTAGACTTTAGGAAGCTGACACTTAACAGCAGGTAACTTAAGGTGCCTGCACATCAGCTTCCATTTTTCGGAAAGTGCCCTGGAAGCCCTGAAAAACCAAGGTGGTCTGACATGGAAATAATGACTAGTTCCTGAGTGGCCGCAAGCTTTCCACCACCCTCTTCTACACTTCATTATTGGTTTGTAAGGCCAGCCATCTTTTTGATAGACCAATAGTGAAGCAAAGTGGCAAGTCACATTCAGTGACTACAGGATCTGGTTACCCTGCTCTGCTTGGTTCACGCACCAGAAGCTGACTGTTATATATTGTAATTGTTAGCTTGAGTACATTCTAACCACATGTTTGAGGAGGGTAGGAATGGCCAACATTTTAATGAATGCTGCTATACATGTTTTCATAAGTACAAACACAATTTTACTGATGTCTAGTTTCTGTATACTAATTCTCACCTGCTCGGAAGAGGGCACCTGCAGCATAATGCATGGCGAGGGCGTGTATTAGCTGCCTTGCAGTGGTGAAGATTGGTCCGCGTTCAAACATAGAGAAAGATAAGGGTGTGTGGTCTGAGGCAATGTACAACTTCAGGGATGCGTGGATGCTGACCAGCAGGTTAACAGGTTGCACTGTCAGTCTTCTCAGTTTAATCGGGCTGACTAACGCTAATGCATGTTGCCTGACTTGCTCTGGCAGCAAAGGAGTAAGCTTAATGCCAGACGCTTTAACGTGGCCCTGCAGCAATTTGTTGTCTGGAAGATATGTATCAAATAGGGTCTTCATATAATAAACAAAAGTGTCCTCCACATAAAGACGAGAAGGCTTCAAATCAAAGCTCAGTTCATTCAGGTCATAGACTTCTTGTTCTACAGAAAGGGTAACAAAGAGCTTGAGGAACGAAGCTTCCTTGTATTCTTCTAGTTCATTGGTAGACATGTGGAGAGCACCAGCTTTTGGCCATTTGGTACATTCACTTCTCTCCTCTTGGCAAACCAGCACAGGAAAGTGGAAGTGAGATTTGCTGTACAACTGGTTGTCCAACTGCAAATCTCCACAGTACACTTCCAGGCTGTAAAAGGTGGGCATACCGTAGGTCATGTCCGCCTGCAGCTCCCGACAAGGCTGTCGCAGGTAGCTAGTGACTGGTGCCATCTGGAGGAACACATTATCTAGTGTTAGGCGAATGAGCTCAGAGGAGGTTTTGTGGATGGTGACATCATCATAAATCCCAACACTGAGCTGAGTGATGAAGGATCTAAATACAATCTTCTGGTTCTGAATCCTAAAGCAAAACAAGGCAGAAGTTAAGACCATACCAGTGGCTGGACGGTAAATATATATACCCATTAGTTAATCAGCAGGGCAAGTGAGCTTCATTTATATTGTATGTCAAGGCATAATTAAACAAAGATATGTAGTGCAGTTTTGCAATACATGCACTTTTCCTCTTGCTATATCATTCTAAAGACCATGAAAGTACATAAAAATACCGGTTGATTTTCCAGAAATGCACTCAGCTCCTAAGTCCTATTGTGGGCTGACAACACACAGCTTTTTTGTAAACAGAGTGGTGTCAGTCCTCCCAGTGTCTTTTGCTCAACTACTTAACCAGCTGCAATCTCAGGTCTCTACAACATAAAGGCTAACCCTTCTGTTGTCCATGATAAGACTAAGTAGCCTATTTGAATAGGACGTGTGCATAGGAGACAGGGCAGCCCGGAATTTCTGAAGATCAACAGGTTTTGTCTGCACTTATCAGATATAACAAAATACTATCAATGGTACATTTAACAGAACAAAAGGGAGAAAATAGAGAGGTTCATTGTTAGGATTTACACTAATTTTATTGCAATACGAGTGTTAAATGACTTTAGAAAATGTTTACATGAATATAAATAAAAGGT